CAAGAGCAAAAGCACATCTTCTTGGCGGAATCCACATTGAATACGGCACCACTCACACAACAGTTTCAATTTTGAAATCAGATACAATTTCTGCATATATCTAGTCCAAAATGTAAACGATATGCTCTGATATCCGATGATATTTAAAAATTTTCCACATCGTTGGTGAATGTACTCAATCAAATGAAGCTTTATATTTGAAAAAAACTGGCAAAAGATTACCATTGGAATAGTGAAGAATGGAAATGCAGGCTAGAATAACAGATTTTTCGCAGTGTTCTATCCTGACCAAAATAGAAAGAAATGTCTGATGATCGATATCCTGTGTCAGAGGCACTGTGCTCTGCCATAATGCAGTATGTGCGTTCGACTGCTAAGGAAATTGTTTCCTATCCGAATACCTCTGCTATCGCTGATCCGTCAAAATACAATATAAAAACGATTTGAAGGAAGAAAATGGGTCTTAAGGCAGACTTTAACGATCTTCTCATGACCATAAAAATACATGAGAATAACGTTTCAGAGACTATAGCAGCGTCATATGTGAAACGAAATACACCATATCAAGACGATCTTTGGTATTGCTATTCTTGAATCTACTCTGCGTAGAAAATACACTTCAGCACGGAAAGAATCGACAGAAAAAAGAATACTTCATGCTACTTGGATAGACAAGACGTAAAAATTAAGCACATTACTCTTGACAAATGCAATTTGTTTATACTGAGAGAATTCTGCATGGAAGGACATTTTTCAAATCTCATTCTGCATCCTACCCCAGGAAATCCTGTTTTGATGCTATACCCTATAACGGGAGGAAATGCAAATTACAACGGAAAGATCCTGAGACAAACAAGCATTACAAAACTGTCAAGCAAAAACAGAGAAAATATCTGATGTTATAATTTATATATTCTCAGCAGAAAAGCGCTTCTCTCTAAGATATATCGATTAGGCACGAAAAGTGAATGTAGAGCACAAATATGAAGTGAACTGAGGTTAGTGAATACCACGTTTGAAAGTTGGACAATTCAGGATATATCGCACTCTTTATCACATTCATCATCTTCATCTTCTATGGTCGCTTCTCCTTTCGAGTCGCGGAAATAAACTCATCAGACAGAGCTTAGAACGTTGCCGATACTGTGTCAGGGTCTGAGCTTCGGCAAAAGAAAACCGAACAGACTCCTTGCATATATTTGCACCAAGTTAATCTTTACCGTCCACTGGGATTTCTGCCGGTCGGTTTCGCAACAAACAATTGGTTCGGCCTCCTTTCTCGACGCCTTCGCAACACATGCCCAGATCATCGTAGCTGTAACTTCTCAATCTGGAGAAGCAAAGGCTGTATTCCAAGGCTCTTCCGGATATCAGTATTCCGGACCATGTCGAGTCGCGTAAGGCCAGCAACTCGTCTAAGAAAGCCCATTTCAGCAGCTTGTACCCGGGTTCGAAGTTTTTCAGTGATGGTCCATGACTCATGACCGTAGGTAAGTATGGGAACAAAGATCGGTTTGAATACCGAGAGCTCAGTTTTCTCCACACCTCACCAGACTTCTCCCATGAATCAGCTTTGGATTTCGCCACTGCTTCTTTCTCTGTCGCCTCGCTTGCTTCACCACATCGCACGCGAGAAGGATCTGTGCTTCCAAGTCATTTTCTGAACGCTGCTTTCCTCTCTCTAACTGCTGGTTGCACCTCTTAAGTGTCCACCTCTTTTCTGACCTCCAGCAGTAGGAAAACACGATTAAATCCGCAGCATATGGCGGCAACCGCTTTTAATGAGCTACCACTTGGTTTCCACATCAGCGGTCATCACCGGGATCAGTTCAAACCGTCGCGCGATGTTGTTTGCAAATTTCGCTCTCCTGCCGACCGAAGATGATGTTTCCCATTTAATTCTTCGGCTGCTTCTGCCACCAGATCTTCGTATGGTACTCCATTTCTTACAGCGCTGCGTGCCAACAACAGGATGATGAGCGGTTGATAGCTCTACGCCTCTCTTAATACGAACATCGATTACTGAGCGTCTTAGGTCAGGCG